AAATTGAAGAGTTACGACTCCAAGAATGACAATCACGAAATGAAATGAAACGGTTACGCTTTCTTCATAACGAATACGAATTCACAGACGCGACGCGACTGTCATCACTTCACAGGCACTATTTACAGAGCAGAAGAAACATTGATCGAGATGCCGGATTTTGGGCCGCACACACCACGGACTGAACCAGGACTAACCCAGGACTAACCCTGGACTGATTCCCAGGCTGTACCAGGACTAAACCAGGATTGAACCAGGATTAAAACAGGATTAAACCACTGTCGGGACAGGTCCAGAGGTGTGCCCGCGTAGTCCGTCGAGTGACAGCAGGTGAAAGGACTGGCGGAGGTAAGCGCTGTACTTTGCGGGCACCTGCTCCACGGGCTCAGCGTTCTCTCTCTCTTAAGTCCAAGATTAGTCCTGCTTTAGTCCTGCTTTAGTCCTGCTTTAGTCCTGCTTTAGTCTTGCTTTAGTCTTGCTTTAGTCTTGCTTTAGTCTTTTAGTTTAGTCTTGCTTTAGTCTTGTCTTGCTGCTTAGTCCTGCTTTAGTCTTGCTTTTAGTCCTTTAGTCTTTTAGTCTTGCTTTAGTCTGCTTTAGTCTTTAGTCTTTTAGTCTTTAGTCCTTGCTTTTAGTCAGTCCTGCTTTAGTCTTGCTTAGTCTTGCTTTAGTCTGCTTTAGTCTTGCTTAGTCTTGCTTTAGTCTTTTAGTCTTGTCTTTTAGTAGTCTGCTTTAGTAGTCTTGCTTTAGTCTTGCTTAGTCTGCTTTAGTCTTTAGTCTTGCTTTAGTCCTGCTTTAGTCTTTTTAGTCTTGCTTTAGTCTTTTTAGTCTTGCTTTTTAGTCTGCTTTAGTCTTGTCTTTTTAGTCTTTTAGTCTTGCTTTAGCTTTAGTCTTTTAGTCTTGCTTTAGTCTGCTTTAGTCTTTTTAGTCTTTTTCTTAGTCTTGCTTTAGTCTTTTAGTCTTGCTTAGTCTTGCTTTAGTCTTTTAGTCTTGTCTTTTTAGTCCTTTTAGTCTTTTAGTCTGCTTTAGCTTTAGTCTTGCTTTAGTCTTTTTAGTCTGCTTTAGTCCTGCTTTAGTCTGCTTTAGTCTGCTGCTTTAGTCCTGCTTTAGTCCTGCTTTAGTCTGCTTTAGTCTTGCTTTAGTCTTTAGTCTTTTAGTCTTTAGTCTTTTAGTCTTTTAGTCCTGCTTTAGTCCTTTTAGTCCTGCTTTAGTCTTGCTTTAGTCCAGTCCTTTAGTCCTGCTTAGTCCTGCTTTAGTCCTGCTTTAGTCCTGCTTTAGTCTTGCTTTAGTCTTAGTCCTTTAGTCTGTCTAGTCTTAGTCCTGCTTTAGTCCTGCCTTTAGTCCTGTCTTTTAGTCCTAGTCCTGTCTGCCTGCTAGTAAGTCACTCCTGCCAGCAAGTCCCTTTAAAGTTCCAGAACTTTAAAACCCGCCCGTTTCAGCAACTATTTGCCCGTACCCGTCGGCTCGCCTGTGACCAACTGGTGCATCTGGAATTTGACAGAGGTGATTGCAGATCCTTTTCTGTTCACTAATCGTATCTCTGCAGATTCTCGATATTTGTTGGGAGCCTCCTGTAAGTTTATTAGAGCTGGAAATGATCCCACATGATTGTTTCTGTGTACTGTGTTTATGTGACGTAAACGTGTACGCGACGTGAGCAGATCTGACCAGAGTTTTGCGTCTTGGGCAGTGTAGACGGAAACGTTACGGCGGAAAAATCACCATCTAAACAAAAGACACTTCTGATCAAATATGGTCGTTTTTACCCGCAAGCATTCTCATGTAAACAGGCCCTAAATGTTGTCAGTATAATCCTAATCCTCACCCCTGTTTATTTGTTTAACTGAAACCAAACTGTTTTTAAGTGTAGAATCTGCTGACTACATTTCCAACAAAAACAGGTTTTCTCTTTGTCCCATCTTCTCACACCCTCGCAGTTTTCTCACTGAATCCGACCTAAAAGTGAAGCCGCCATTGTTTAATTAAAAAGAAGTGTCAGACTCAAGAAAGAACAAGATTCCACTGTTAACAGGATTTAACAGAAAAACACAGCTCCGGGCCTTTTCTCCGCACCTTTTCCAAACAAACAATATGTCCTCTCAAAGAAACAATTCATTTAAGTATCTGCGCTTTACTCAAACGTGCATTGTGTTACTTTTCCGGTGGAGGGTTCGTCAAATGCTTTTGTCCACGGAGATGTTATTGCTTTCTCTGGAATGTTTCACAGTTATTAATCATTTCTATCTTCATGGAGACCAAACCAGACCAAGTTACAGGTCAGATCTGCGGAGAGGCGACCCCACTCAGTCAGAATGTTTGTTTTTCTAGGTATTTTTGAGCTATAAAACCACCTGTAATTAAGTAAATTTAAAGTAGAGCTCTTTAATGTCACACTGTGGAACATTCCAGACAGAGAAACGACGTATCCATAGAAACAAGCAGGTGAAGGACCCCCAGCCAAAAAGTTACATAGTGCAGCTTTAAGTCATTTTTACACTGGAAACTTTTTACTTTTACGTCAAGGGGTGTGCAAAAATATCAAAATATCGATATATCGCATCGTTTAATGTGCTGATACAGTATCGATATCGTGGGCTGCTGTATCGATATATCGTCAAGAGTATTTTAGGTATATTTTTACTAAATTAGTTTGTGTGAGAGCTACAGTTGTGTTGACATTTTCACTGTTTTGAGTAAAATGGATGTTTTTCACATTCACTTTTCACAAACTTAGTGGACTTTTAGTATCAGTGGCAACATTTAGCCTTTTTTACAATGAACCGTATCGAATCGATGTGAAATATATTGTATTGAATCATATTGAATCAAAAGCTCACTGTATCGGAAAGCGTATCGTATCGTGGCCTATGTATCGAGATATGTATCGTATCGGTAACTTCTTAATGATACCCAGCCCTAGTACTTTCTACTCCACTATGTAACAAGTGTTTTCTTACTACTATGTAATGACAGTGTAATAACTATTATGTGTAATTAGCTGAGATGGATGATCAGAAGATTGAGGGTAGGACTACAGGAGGGCAGGGGCAGTAAATGAGGACAACAGAATGGTTGAAAATAAATAACGTGTATTGTACAAAAATGAGTGAAATAACCCAATGTATAAAAAAGCTGCAGCTAAACAAAAATCAGATCAAACAGATACAACATTAATTAAATGTGAACTACGATCAACTTTATTATTAGTATTAGTATTAGTATTTTCCGGGCTATTAGACGCGCTCTTAAGCCTCTAACCGCATCAAAAAAACGGCCGCGCGCCCCACAATCCAGAGCGAATCCACGAATCCACTCGGGTGTCCCAGCACGACTTGAGTAAACTACAAAGCCGCACCACCCGCAGAACACGCAAACACACACAGAGCAGACAGCGAACGCGTAGCAACAAACACCCACAGCCACACTCATCACTCCACACCGACGAGGAACGGAACGGAGAAACGAACCGAAAAAGCGAATCAAATGTGCTACTTCTAGACACAACTGAACAACTGAGTCACTGCGAACACGCCGACAATCCGTTGGTCCCAGACACACCCTCCCTACACGCCACAACTGAACAAAGCCCAGAGTCACCGTGAACGCACCAAACAAACAAAACCACTGACCCATCCATTCGTTTAAAGTCCAGTGCGGTTTATTTGTGAAAAAAGTTTGAAAATAGACCATTTAATAGTGCGGAAAATACGGTATGTTAAGGGTCCATAATCAGTTATTGTGAAAGGGTGCAATGTCCATTAAGGGCGAATTATCAGACAGTTGAGTAGTTGGTGTAGCTCAAGTAGGTGGGAGAGAACAGACTGTTAGCCTCCTACCAGACCGGAGACTTTCTCAAAGGATGGTCCTAGCTCGCCATCACGTTAGACCCAATTTCAATTCAAATGCCCAGCACATAACAATGTCCCAACAACAGGTCTAGTTGATCAGAGCTCTCAGGGACCATTTTATACTCAGTCTGCTAGATTGTGATTGGATAATTGGTGGAGCGGGCGGTGTAATGGGTAATGACGTGTCATGTGGTACACGGGAAAACCTGGGTTGGATCTTTACCTAACCGGATTGGATTTAACCCTGGTTACAACTACATTTTAGATCTGGACTGAAAAGTAAAAAGTACTTTTCTGTATGGTTTGAGACCTGCTGAAACAATTCAGACTCTATTTTTAGCACTTTTAATTAACGCTTAACACTTTTAATTTGTTAACATTACAACTTTTTGCAAACTAAAAACACAAAAACAGAAACAGAAAAACAAAGAAATCACTTAAAATCAGCTGAATTCTTTATCAAAATCATTACATTTCATCCTTTAATTGTTCTTAAAATCATTATCAAATACTTTTACTTTTTACTCTTAAAGTAAATTTTTAAATAGGTACTTTAATACTTTTACTTCAGTAGATTTTTTCTTTACTTTTCTTCAGTAAATTTTTTTTAATACTAGTATACTTTTAATACTTAGTATTTCTTTGCTCCTGTATGTAGATTTTTTCATACTTTTCTTTAGTATTTCTTTGCTCCTGTATGTGTACTTTTACTTGAGTAAATTCTTCATGTGATACTTTTACTTTTACTTTAGTATTTCCTTGCTCCAGGACTTGTACTTTTACTGAAGTATATTTTTCATGCGATACTTTTACTCTTACTTGAGTATTTCTTTGCTCCTGTATTTGTACTTTGACTTAAGTAGATTTTTTCATGATACTTGAATTTTTACTTGAGTATTTCATTTCCACAGGACTTGTACTTTTACTTAAGTAAAATTTTCATGTGATATTTTTACTTTTACTTGAGTATTTCCTTGAACCAGGATCTGTACACGTTTCACGTTTGAGGTTTAACAAGAATCTTTGAGAATGTGTTTACTCAAAGAAACAGGTACTGTCCACAAATCATCTCCATAGTAACAAGCAGGTGACGGAGCCCCAACAGAAAGTTCCGTAGTGTGCTTTAAGAGGATGTGTGAGTATGTGTGGACTCACGGTGGACTGGTGCGCTCCGTCCACCGCGGCCCCGTCCTTGGTCCACTGGATGTGAGCGGCGGGTTTGGCCCCTCTCGTCACACAGCTCAGGTTATAGGGAGTCCCGGCCATCAGCAACAGCTCAGGGGCGCCCTCTAGGTGTGGGTCCTCCGGCGGTACTGCACACACACACACACACACACACACACAAATAATAATAAACTACACACTCAAGACAGAGCTAACAGAACCAGGACTAAAGCAGGTCTAAACCAGGGCTAAACTAGGACTGAACCAGGACTAAAACAGGACTAAACCAGGACTAAACCAAGACTGAACCGGGACTAAACCAGGACTAAACCAGGTGCACCTCCTGGCCCTCCCAACACTCAGTCCTGGTTCAGTCCTGGTTTAGACCTGGTTTAATCTTGGTCTAGTCTTAGTTTAGTCCTGTTTTAGTCCTGGTTTAGACCCGGTTTAGTCCTGGTGTAGTCCTGGTTAGAACACAATTTCTTTGGCACCATTTTGAGGCCTGAAGTGCAATGTCAAATAAATTAAATTGTAAACCATACAGAAATAATAATAATAAAATCTATTTATTCAAATAGGGCAGCAATTAAATAATATTTTAGAAGCATATGTTAGTAGTGATTCTTGAGAGTCGGGACAAAACAGGTCCTCTCAGGTAGAAATATTGTGATAAAAATTCAAATTTCCAGTTTTTTTTTAAATAGTCTTAATAGTCATACTTATTCTGATTAATTGTTGCTGCCCTAATTTCAGGCACAGAAATGTACGAGTTAGAGAAGACACATTAAAGGTATTACGCTAAAATGGACCTTTGAGAGCTTTAAGTCATGTTCTAATGTTGTTACTTTATCAAAAACAGACGTGGAGTTGTGTTTTGTTTCATTCAAACATATTTGAGTAATTCTGGATAATTAGTCTACATGTCTAACTCTCCAAAAATCTAAATCCTCTGTTCCACCTTGTGATGTCATGAAGCAGTCATTTTCAAGTTAACTGCTACATTTTCCCACTTTCCCTAGGAGAAATTGGCAATGGAGTTTAAAAACACAGCAGTACACCTCCAATACTACCAAATTACATCACAAAGTCGAACAGAGTTTTCCGTTTGAGAGGCAAACTCAGTCTGATCTGCAGGGTTTGTGTGTTAAACAGGTGTGAATGAAACAAAACACAACTCCAGGTCTGTTTGTGATGAGGAAAGATTTTCCAAACACAATGTCAATACTAAATGTTAGTTCAGACTCTTAAATTGGATACATAAGTTTTGTATAGTTGTGTTAAAAGTGTGTTAAACTCACTGAGCACGTTGAGCTTGGCCCTCCTGGAGCGCAGCGCCGCCTCTGTGGCCTGACACTCGTACTGAGAGTCATCGGACAGCTCCGCGTGAGAGATCTCCAGGTTAAACTGTCCAGTGTCCAGAGCACGAAGGATGCGATAACGAGGCCATGCTGAAAAGAAACAACAAAAAATATATACATCAAGTTAAGTTTTATTAAAGTATGTTGAAACGAAACAGCCACTTCACAAGAGGATGTACCAACAGACAAGAGAGCAATAGTGGACCTCAGTCTGCTGTACATCTCCACCTAAAAGCCTCGGGCCACTTTAGAGAGAACAGTGAGGTACAGATCTGAGCCAGAGAAAAGAAATGGTTTGAGAGGGGAGTTAAAGAGGGTATTTTTGTTAGGAAACACAATACATCTTTGAACAGAAATGGAGGCCTCAGACATCATCTATCTCCTATTTACAACTCTATCTTCAAACCTAAATCAAAACAAACAAAGAAAAAAATAGGGATAGCCAGGTCAGGCCCAGAGGTGTGACAGCAGCTAAAAAGACCCCACACTTACATGAATACGCCTAACTAACAAACAGAAACTGTAAACAAGTAGAGTATTAGTATTAGTAGTAGTATTAGTAGAGTATTAGTTTCAGAATAGTTTCAGTGTAGTTAGCGCCTCCCTTCACACAGACACAAAGAAGTGTCCTCCAGTATTTTGACCAGAACTGAAAAAGCAGCTTGAATGAGCTGCAAAACATTTTTGACCAAATAAACTTTTGTGCAGTTGACAAATTGAAATTCTCCTTTTGATAAAGTACAAAAGGTGAAACTGTTCAGTGTCCAGAGTTTGAAGGATACAGTAATATGGCCACGCTAAGAGAAACAACAAAAATATAGACTTTAACATGTGTTTTATTAAAGTATAAAAGGTGAAACTGTTCAGTGTCCAGAGTGTCAAGAAGGATACGGTAACAAGGTCATGCTAAACAACAAAAATAAATGGCTTTTATTTTTTAATGTGTCGATTTAAATTGAAGTTTACCATCTTCAAGGCACTCAAAGCTCTTTACATCAAGGAACCGCTCACCCATTCATACACACATTCATACACTCGTGCACACAGACACTGAGGGTGAGGTGGGTTCAATGTCTTGCCCAAGGACACAACCTGTGGGCCAGTGGATCTAACTACTCTACCGATCTACATGTTTATTTCAAGAGTAAGATTCAAGATTAAAATACAAATAAATATGGAAAATGTAGTGATGGGCAAATGAGACGGAGCTCAGGAGCACGTCTCGTTCTTTCTCAAACAAATCACTCTGAAGCACTGCCTCGGAGCTCGTCTCGCAGCAGCCGCTCACGTGACCAAAGTGTGGAAGTGTCGGCCCCTCCCCCTGCTGCTTCGCTCTGCGTGTCAGTCGCTTCAGTGTATCGAAGCGTTTCATTGGCTCAGCGAATGTTCCGCTCTGCGATCGGTTCAGAGTGTTCAGAGTGTTCGGCGCACTTCTGTGGTTTGACAAGTGGTAAACGCCTACAGTATGAAAGACGCACCAATATTTCTTAAAAATGTTGGTAGTGAGGAGGATTGTGTGACGTTAGTGGTGATTTTGACTTTTGGCGACTTTTGGCATTTGTTCTACAAGTGGAAAAAAGCGATCCATGGTTTGGGATCACGTTGATCTAATTCCACCGAACAAGGTCAATTTTCTTATTTACAGCTGCTATTTATGTTGCTCTTTACATATTATTTTAAATCATCATTATTATTGTTGTTGGTACGGTGTCGCTCTGCACACAAGTATTGTCTCATTGTTAAATATGTCCACTAGAGGTCAGTGTTTCTCCGAGGCCTCAGACACGTCCAAACATTTGAGACAATATTGCGACTGAGGTGTCAATGCTTCACGAGGCTCCGTTCGCCCATCACTAATGACAAAGATGGTCTTGATTTGGTCTCGATGGGCTGTGGTCTCGGTCTTGTCACGGTCTTGAGCTTAAAAAGTTTTGGTCTTGTCTCGGGCTCGACCCTCAGAGGTCTTGGTCTCGGGACCCTGTGATTTCGTACTGGTCTTAGTCTCGATTAGTGGCGTCTTGACTACGACGGTAGGTTCTAATAACACAGTGAAGCACTTCCTGTATTACCACATGACATTAGGTGGAGTGTTTTCAGTTTTAGAGAAGAACTTAGCCAAAATCTGTATGGTTTGTGTGTTAAACATGTGTGAATGAAACAAAACACAACTCCAGGTCTGTTTGTGATGAGGAAACTACACTAGAACATACAGTAGATCAGAAAACTGTAATCTGGGCCCTTTCATTGTGGAGCTGTACACCCCTGTATCGAGATTCGTATGAAACAGTTCGAGAGAGTACAGTTGCTCGTGTGTCTGTGTCTTCTGGTTTGAGACTGTTTGTATTTGAGTTCATAACAGAGCTCCAGACTCAGAAGGTCATCTCTCACAGCAGCACAAATCAAACTGTGTGGGTTTGATCTGTTTAAATAAAGCGTTTCAATTCCCTCCTCGTGTGCCAGCTGTTCACCTCCCAGTGACAAATTCTCTATAACCACGTTTAGGACGAGGACATACTGGAGATATGAAGACAATGAAAGAGCGGATCCAAAGAGTTTTAGCAAAGCATTTATCCTATGGGAATGTTTGATTTAGGCTTCCTTAAAGAGACAATATCACACTATTTTCTGATCTAAAATGTTCTAATGTAGTTTCCTCATCACAAACAGACCTGGAGTTGTGTTTTGTTTCATTTGCACATGTTTAACTTTAACTTGTGATGGCATGTGGTAATACAGGAAGTGCTCCACTGTGTTTTTAACTCCATACACCTTCACTATAATCTCATGATGATTTCAGGTCTGGAGTTGCTGATATCTGAACAAAGATAAAAGGGAGCTGCAAACTTGAAAACTACTACCGTATTTTCCAGGCTATTAGATACGCCCTTAAGCCTCTCACCCCATCAAGAAACGACTGCACGCCCCAATCCAGAGCAGACAGCGACCGCACGGCCAAAAACACCCACAGACACACTCATCACTCCACGCCAACGAGGAACGGAACGGAGGAACGAACCAAAAAAGCGAGTGCAATGTGCCACTTCTAGACACAACTGAACAACTGAGTCACTGCGAACACGCCGACAATCCGTTGGTCCCAGACACACCCTCCCTACACGCCACAACTGAACAAAGCCCAGAGTCACCGTGAACGCGCCAAACAAACAAAACCACTCACCCATCCAACTGTTGTGTTTCATTTAAAGTCCGATGCGGTTTATTTGTGAAAACGTTTGAAAAAATAGACCATTCTATAAAAGTGCGTCTTATAATCCAGAGCGCCTAATAGTGCGGAAAATACGGTATTCTATGACGTCACAAGGTGGAACAGGGCATTTTGAACTTTGCAGATGTAGACAGACTAATAATAAAGAGTTACTCAAATATGTGTGAATGAAACAAAACTCAACTCCAGGTCTGTTTTTGAGGAGGTAACAACATTCTAACATAGTTTAAAGCTCACAAGAGTCAATTTGGTGTAATATAGGTCCTTTCATTTTGGATAAAATGTTGAACAGTTAACGTAATTTCTGGATTATTGAACACACCTGAATATAAGCAGCATCAACCAAACTTTAAAAGATTTATTTATTTATCTATTTATTTATTTTTTACATATATAGGCCTGTCTATAAGCTGCAGGTGTCCACGTCTTCAAGAACGTTTTCAAGTTGGGACCATCTGCTTTTATCACCTCTGAAAGCTTTTGTCGTCTTTTTACATTGAGTCAGTTCAGCCAACGTCTCACCAACGACTCACTGATGTCGAGCTCACGTGCAGCAGCTCGATTTCCTTCTTCCAAGCTGCATCATATGTATTTCGCAAAAAAGTGCAAAATAACTGTTCAAAACACAATCAAACGAGCATCGGTGCATCACCCCCGTCTCTCCCCGCTCTCTACTGCGCATGTCTCCTGCAGAAAGAGCCTCTGTTCTGTCTGTATCATGTCAGTGTCTTGGAGGATTTCAGCAGATTTCAGGCTCTCTGGGGGCGGGGATAGGTGCATCGATCAGGTATGAGTGGATGTTCAGCTACTGAAGTTTGAGACGTTTCTTCTCGTCATTTACGCTCTCACCTGTATTTAACTCATACATGTCATAAAGTCGTTCATTTAGCATCAGAACTTATTTTATTACAAACCGTGTTTCCAAACCGTAGACCGTATATATGAATGGACAATGTGCCAAACAAATAATCTGTCCATATATTCGCCGCATCATTGTATAAATCGCAGGGTTTTACGAGTGAGAAAAAAGTTGCGTCTTATAGTCCAGAAATGACAGTATATAATAAGTTTTGCCATATTCCAAAACCCCAAATAAATCCAGATATTTATTTTATACTAGAATTTTCTGCTAAAAAAGTTCAAATGCTGTTTCAATCATAGCACAGCAATTTCAGTTTTTTCCATTATTTAAAACTTTAGTAAGCAAATATAACATTCAAAAGTACATTTAATCAGACAGAATTACATTGCGGAACAGTATGTAACTTTGGAAAAAATATGCAACGGAAAAACGAGAAGAGAAAGTTAAAACCACAGTTTGGAACATTCTCGATGGAGATATACGTGAAATATTACAGCCGAGCAGGAGAATGAAAAAGAAATTGTATTTATTTTGCTGAAAAGTTACATAATGTGGCTTTAAGTGGAAATACATGGTTGGCTACTAACTAATGAACAAAGATAAATACGTAGGTCTAATCAGCCAACGCCAGAATTACAGGAACACAAAAGTAATTAAGTAAATGCAGTTATTTAATTAAACAGAAGAGCAGCTGCTGTAACAATGACCGATCATTCTAAACTCACTTGACACCGACTCGGATTAACAAAGCTTTTACTCCGAGGCGTGATTACACATGTGCTCTCACTAGGGGGCGACGCGCTCTCCCGACGCGCCCGGGTGGCTTCGTACGGCAGGAGCAGCAGGCAGGTGAAGAAGAAGAGGAGAAGGAGGGAGAGGGAGGGAGGGAGAGGGGGACAAAAGTATTATGGCACATTACATCATCCTCGGCAACAGCGCGCAGCATAGCAACCAGAGGTGAGAGCACCCAAGGGAGACATGGGCGCGCAATAAAGCACCAGC